AATAAACTTTTTTCCTGCTTGACCAATTTCGATGTTTTTGGTATGAAAAGACGTCTTGACATCTCCTCTAATAAAGACTAAAGAAAGAAAATGTTGAAACGTCATAAAGTTATTAATTTTCATCTGAAAAAATCGAGATTATTTCGAAAAATTTACGCAATGTGCCAGAAGGTGCAAAAATAATAAAAAAAGTTTTCATGTTTACGTAATCGCGCACCTTCTGGCACACGACTTTTGGGGATAGGATCCTTTCTTTTCTCTAGTTTTCGGTTTAATTACCCAAGTTTTTTTGGTTGGGTTTGGCAGTGATAGTTGAAAATTGGCGGCGGATTTAGATTTCCTAACCTCAAAGCACCAATTTTCGTGTTGATTTGGCGCTAAAATCCTCTGGTATCAGAGAAAATTGGCCTTTTTACTTCTTCGAGCTTCCACGAGTCGAATAATCGCTTTAAAGCGTCTCCCATTTACCGTAACCCATGATTTTACAATAACTCCAAAGTAGTTTCTACTGTTGTCATAAAGATGACGCTAAGATCAACTATTGGACTCTTAATGTAAGAATCTTAATGAAAAATCTAGGCCATCTTATGGTAGCTAGAGTGTTTTAGAGCACCAACAGCTTAGTATTGAAAGGCGCGAACTCAAGGTGAGCTCTTCAGGATTATGCAATTAGCTGCAATGCTAGAAGTTGTCAAAGGAAAAACAAAAACAAAAAGCCCCATGAGGGAGTGAATCCTGATTGTCTGGGCGGAAGCCTAATGCCTTAACCACTAACCCACCAAGCCTTAACCTACCTTTTCTCCCGCTAAGAAAAGAGCTTTTTAAAACATGTTTAGGCCACCAACGTACGTTGTCTCCCTAATTAATCATTTAGGTTTGTGGCAGCGTTTGGAAATCTACCGTGACGAATTGTTCGGCTTTTTTCAGAAACAAATCGATGATCATTTGAAAGAGATCGATTTTGAGTCTGAAGTGAGCCTAGAATACTTTATTACTCATCAAATTTCCTAGGAAAGCAATGACATTATGGAGGTTTATTTGAAAGAACAAAGAAAACATCGAAATGAGCCGGATGAGGGCGGATATTCGTTAGTTTTTTTGTGAAAAATTTGAAAACAATTGTTTTTAGTCAAATTCAACTCCGGAACATTGTCTTCGACATTTGGATTGCAGGTTCATTCTAAATTTTTCTGTACTTTGTGCTCAAAAACGCACTCTTTCTAGCGCACTGAAGTCTTCATAAAGTGCACCAGCACAAGAGTAATTCTTGAGGGACAAGAGTAATTCTTGAAGGACAAGAGGAATTCTTGAAGGACAAGAGTAATTCTTTTTGAGCACAAGAGCAATACTTGAAGAAGATTGAACTTTTCAAAACTCTAGGACTTGAAACAACAACCACTACTCTAATGTGGGGTGTCAATTTTCTATTGAATCACGAAGGAGTTATGGAAAGAATGCAAAAAGAGTTAGATCGAGTTGTTGGACAAGAGAGAAAAGTGGAAATGAATGATAGAAATCAACTTCATTATTGTCAAGCTGTGATCAGTGTGAGTGCTGGAAATCCTTTGAAGAATATTTCTATTTCTATTTTCAGGAGATTCAACGTTTTCTCAACTTGTTGCCTCAAAATTTGTTCCGTGTTGCGACAGAAGATGTCCAAGTTGAAGAGCATTTTGTCGAAAAGGGAACAATTATCATTCCACAAATCAGTTGTGTTCTGTATAATGAAAAGGTGAGAGTTGTGGATATTGGATGCAAATAGCTACAATATTTCCCTAGAGCCAGGCAATAGTTTTGCAGTTTCACCGATTTCCTTATTACAGATCTTCCCAGAAGCTCGTAAATTTAAGCCCGAACGTTTCCTAAACGAAGATGGAACTTATAAAAAGGTAAACAAACGATTTTCTTTATTCAAACTACAGTCATGAACAAAAGTCTTGGCGGCTCCTGGGTGGCAACTTTCAAACGCAAATTTAGGAACCTTCCCGAGAGGCTATAAAAAAGTTGTCACAAGTATTTTTGAGCATTTTTACTCTACTTTTAGCTATGACCAAGCATTGAACTCAAAAGTTTATTTTAGACAACGAAAATAAGCGTAAACGACAAAAAGGGACAAAAGTCTTGGTGGCACAGACACAGAGGCGAAAAATTCAATATTTTGTAGGTCCGCCTTTAGCTGCAATGACCGCTTGGAGCCTCCGGGGCATACTGTGAACTAGATCGCGTAAAATTTGTGGCGCAATTGTCACTCAAACTCACCGTACGAAGTACCAAAGATCCGCCTTAGAGTTAAACCGTCTTCCCTTGAGTTTCGTCTTTTTTCTCTCTTTTTCTTCCTAAATTTGCGTTTTAAAGGTTGCCACCCAGGAGCCGCCAAGACTTTTGTCCATGACTGTATAATATAAAGCAATTTTAGTACCAAGAATTGATCCCATTCTCGCTTGGGAAACGCCAATGTGCTGGTGAAGGATTGGCCCGATTAGAGCTCTTCCTTTTCTTCACAAATATCATTCACAAATATGAGGTAAATAAGATGAGATATTGATGACCTTTAACTCTTTGCAGTAATTAATTGCATGATAACTTGCGCATATATGCAATTCAATCTGCAATTCAAATTCAAATTCAAATTTTCAAACTCATAAAACTCGATTTCTAGATCACCTCCGACGAGAAACCAACAATGGAACGAAGTTTCAAAACCCTCATCCACACTCCTGACTATACATGCAATTTTAAACCCCGTTTCTAACTTTTCTCATCTTTTAACTTATTTGTAACTCGTTAATAAATCTAATTTCGATTTACTAAAGAGTTTATTACAGTCAAAAATAAATGCCTAGAAAAAAAATGTAAAAAGTAATAACGAGAAATAATCCGTCCTAATGGTCCGTTTGTCTAGACTCATATTTCTGCTCCTTTGTGATGAGCAGTGCCACTTTGGCGCTACAAAATCGATGGACAAGGAACTTGAACCTGTAGATATGCAATTTTTTTCATCCTTAAACCGAAGTATGCAACATTGCCATTTATATATTTTCAGCTATACCAATAATAATTTGGCTACTTGCTATCGTTACAATGTGTGGGGCGCCGTTTGCTTACTGGTTTCTATAGGCTATCCAACCTGAGAAATCGACACCTGCCTGTAAGCAGCACTCCGAGAAAATTGAATGTACCACAGGGGACTCAAACAATCGAGCTTAGGCTTTGAGATTGAAAACACTAGAAAGAAACGCTAAAAAGTGACACCCTTATCAAAAGATATCTTGCTAAGATCGACTAGTTACACAAGAGATCTGTTTGTATATCAGGAATTCATCGGATTGACATTTTTGGATGTGATGCAAATTACAATGTACAATTGCAAATTGTAAATCGATTCTCGATTGCAGTCCAAACTGCAAAAAGTTCCACTCTGATTGCAATCCGAATTGCAATCGAGAGTCGAACTTTCCACTTATCAGGCGAATGCTCTACCACTAAGCTACAGCATGCTAGCCACAAATGCTGGAGAGGGGTAGGAAGACACTTACTATTCTGTTTTCAGACTACGCCCCATTCCCGTCAATGTTCCTGGCCCTTCACTTGTCCGTCTCCACAATTGTCCTCCTCACCTGCTATAACAGTTATCGGAACTTCACTCTTAGCCTCTTTCAGCTATCAATCAGAAAAATTTCCGTCAGATCCAATGTTAGAAGAGCGATGAGTATTCACGTTTCCAAAATTCACTCTACAACAAGGATTCCATAAACTTTTAAAAATTTCTACGAATAAAACTAATTCAGTTGACCTTGTTCTGTTCTCTGATTGTTACTTTCATTTTTTAGGTTATCCAGTACGGTGTACGATCAGGGCGAAGCAAGTTACGAGTTCAGCAAAAGGCCGACGTGTTAGCCTTTTGCTGAACTTTGAAAAATTCTTTCAGATTTGTCTTCAGCACATTTTTTCGCATCGATAAATATATATCGCAAGCAAAATCCACGGCAAACACATTTTTGCGCGGATGTGCGACGCCTCAATAATAAATGAATTATTGCATCCTAATTGTTTTTCCTAATTGATTCCTCGAAAAACCGAGGGAACCAATTTGAATCTTGTACCGGATCGTACCCATATCTGCAGCAGGTCTCCAAGGTGAACAGCCTCTAGTCGATAGAATAATGTAGGTAAGGGAAAATACAACTAAATGTTGAATTCGCAAAAATCCCCAAGTTTTTTTTTCTATTTCGTGTAGTAAATAGGATTTCTCAAGTTATTTACGAAAGCTTCAAAGGGCAAGTTCCCGATGCTTACAGAGAAAAGAGAAACAGGAGAGAGGAATAACAACAAAAACAGAAAACAAGGAAAAGAGGATCCTTTTCTCCAAAAATTCCCTATAAAATCTCCGTTGGGAAATCTTTGTCTTAAGTCTACTTCATAAAATTCAAAGTATTTCAATCATTTTTTCTATTTCAACCCAAGAAACTTTTGTTTTAGTTATTTATCTTCGCTTTAAAAGTTTAGTTTCGCTTAATCTGGTGAGTTTTTGACGTATTTCTTGGAAGATAACGATCAAGATAAACCTTTAGATTGTATTTTACTATTGGATTTATGGTACTTGTCGGTTATACATCCATAAAGACTCATCTCGGTTAAGCATCCCCATCCGAGTCTTCTCGGTTATCGATTTTCGTTAAACTGATCGACTGATCACTTCAAAGGAGCACTCTACTTCACTGAACATGATCACCCCTCACAAGTTGTCAGCTCCTTGCTTAACCGAGATTAGTCTGTGGATTCTCTGTGGATGTATAACCGACAAGTACCGTTTCTTCTATTAGAGATTGCTCTTCTATTTTTCAAAGATTTTATTACCGTTAGAGTCACCGACTTCAATTGAGGCATCACTGTCGTAGTCCTTGTTTTCCTCATCTTCACCCAGGATTCTTTATTTTTTCAGAAAAACACATTTACCTTAAACTGAAATTTACTGGAAAACCATGGAAGAATCTAACAAAATGCACCCAAATGTTCGACGAGCCCGAGAGGATATCGACAGAGTTGTGAGTTTTTATTTCTAACATAAAAGCTCTTAATTGACAATGGGTTTCCAAGTTTTCTAGAAGAAAAACCCCCATTCAGCTCTATAGAATCAGTAATGGACTCGAGCATTCCATGAAGGAGAAATAATTTGTCGAGAGATAGCAAATCAAGAAATCAAGCAAATCAAGCAAAAGCAAGCAAAATGGGATCTAATCAGAAACAGAGATGTAATCAAAATTTGATATCTAGACTATCACTATAAAAAAACTGGTTTCATTTGTTTGAAATGAAAAAAAGAAGTCGTAAATTTCAGAATCATTTCAGAATCGACTCGATAACCTCACCGAATTACCTCAAAAGCAGCCCACTCAGTTGTTGGACGAATCGGTAATTTTGCTAATTGAAAATAAAATAACCACCTTATAGTTTAACTTTATAATGTTTATCCTTTAAAAAAGAGATTCTAGATAAAGTTCTACAAGTAAACAAAGAGTTAGATCTCACCGTTAGCATTTTACTGTAATTTTAGTCCTTCTGTCAAAGAAAAGTCAGTAAAAGATAGAAGCTATTACCGTATTTTCTCTAATAGTAGTGCACCCTGAGCGCCGCTAAATTGCTCGAAATCTCGAGAACCGCTTATCAGAACCTATCGATGCGGGGTCGGAAAATGTAGCTGACAATGAGATCTTGTAGGGGAATAGAGTGTTGAGCTTCTGCAAAAGCTTGGACACCGTAAAATAGTCACCAACTCGGCTCGCCGGGATGCACTATTATTAGAGAAAATACGGTATTCACCGACCTGGCTTATACACTTACTAGGGAAGGTCGCCAACTTAAGATGAAATTTCAAAACGAGACCTATCCTAGTTAGAGAGTTTTGTCGGATAGAGCTCTAATCAGCTAATGAAAAGCATGTACCATTGTTGCAACCGGGTCTAAAATAGATCGTCGCGTTCGTCATGTAGTGCAAGTAAGCAGCGTTCTCGACTCCGCCGAACTTGGCACAGCTGCCCATTGTGTAGAAATCTCGAGAACCGCTTATCAGAGCCTATCGATATGGGAAAATGCAGCTGACGATAAGATCTTGTGGGGGAATAGAGTGTTGAGCTTCTGCAAAAGCTTGGAAACCGTAAAATAGTCACCAACTCGGCTCGCCGGGGTGCAATACTATTAGAGAAAATACGGTAGAAAGTCTCAACTGGCTTTTTTTATTAGAAAAATAAATAAAGAAGTTTCTACAATAAATCCAATAAAAGAAGTTATTTAACTTTTAATTTAGCTAACCATATACGGTATATGGAAGAAAATTTAAAGAAGGAATATTCATTTAAGAAATTTCCAGAAAGATGAGCTCCTGGGGAAGCCAGTTGAGACAACGAAGAAATCCGTCTCATCGATGTTCAGCCACATCACCGAACGGGAGTCGAATCTTTACTAATCTCGAATTTAACAAGTATCAAAGTCCGCTTTTTAGATTTATAGATTTAAATTATAGATTTTTATAGATCAGATTTCAGAAACTTCAAATTTACATAGTTTTTATCACATTTTTATCTTGTAACTTAAAAATTCTTCGCCAAAACCCAAAATTAAATTTGAACTTGAGATTAATTGCTCAAATTGCTCAATGTTGTGCTGCTATAAGTTATTGATGTTATTTTTTTCTATATAGCTGAATAGTTTGATAAACTTTTGTATTTCTGACAAAAGAACAAGCTATTTGAGGAAAATGTGTGCTCAAAAAGGGGAGAAGATTGTTTTCGAGAGAGGATTTGCATTTTGGAACTTTCGTAAATAGTCGCGATTCCCAAATAGATTCCCCAAAAAATCCCTTGTTTATCCAGTTGAGTAAAAAGAGCTCAAATAAAACCTGCAAAATACAAGACGAGGATCAAAAGTTACGACTCAAAAGTATCGAGTATCGATAAATGAAATCTTGACAAATCGATCTCGACTAGACTAGTACTAAGATGAATTTAGTTCTTAAAGCTTTGGTTAGTTAGAATCAAATAAACCTACCGTAAATACTGTAATAGTACCCCACCCCCCTCGTACAGTCGCGTAGTCGCAAAAGTTTTTTAGTATTTCATTTTTTTCGAAGTGCCCGTACTGTTAAACAATGCGTCTTTGGTATCAAAAAATAGCCCTGAATTTCAGCTATTTTTTGATACCTCAGCCCGCATTGTAGCATAAACCAGTGTCGAGAAAAACTCGTTCAAAGCTAGACTACGCAACACTCCGCACCGTCATTATGGGGTGGGGTACTATTACAGTATTTACGGTAAATAGCTCAGAGAGAATTCGAGAATTGCTTAAATTCGGCCTAAATTCGACAATTTGGCTTGTGGAGAGAGGCCATTTTAGCCTTTTCATTGAATCTTTTCCACTAAACTGCCGTTTTAAAAAAAATGTGTAAGACGGATTTCAAAAATTCTTTTAGATTCGAAATCAGCATAATTTTCTGCATCGAATCCATATAAGCATGTGCAAATTCGTCGGCGATTATATTTTCACACGGCTATGCGTTGCTCCTTCAGCCCAAAGTGAGTGCGACGTGTAGTTGTTCCATCCAAAGAATTTCGAGATGTCGTTTGCCGCCACGCTGTGTCCTTGCCGTCCGGGGAAGACAAACTCCGTTGTTTAACCATTTCTTCCACAAGGTATGCGTCTTGAATAGTAAATGAACAAGCATCGATCGTCCTTTGACATCTTGATCGTTTTTGGCCTTTCGCACAAGCAATTGTTCCTCCCCATCCGTGACGTCCTCCCAACGAAGAGCGATCAACTCAGGCAAAGAAAACCGGTGAATATCAACGTGGTCATTGTGACAATTGTGACAATACTTGAGCGATTTTGATCCAAGGTCTCTTTTAAGGGCTTTACAAAAAATCAGTATTCACTATTAGTTGAAAAGCCTTTAAAAAGAAGAAATCAGCTGAACATCCATCAAACTTTGAATAGTTTAAACTTATGAAGAAATTAACTGTTTGTATTAACTGTTTTGTGCATTTTTCTATACAATAATAATCAGATAAATCAGTAAATCTTTATTTACAAGTATGTGTGCATTTTAGTTCAAGAAAAGTGATCACTTTTGTTCATTATTTTTCGGATCTCTTCTCCCCATTGGCATTGTGATCGGATCGAGTTTTGTCTTGCTGAAACACATGAGAAGTTAACTTGATTGAATGATTAGTTGTATATTTCTATCTAGCTTCAATTTTTTTGTCTAAAATGATTAGAATCTCGTTCGTTTGCTCGTTCTTGTTTTTTCGTTCTTGTTCGTTTTACGAGTTGTCGTTCTAGTGATCAAAATGGAAATTACTAAAGAAAATGATGCGGGAGAAATGAATGAATACCGATTTAACTAATTTATATGAAAATCAATTCATTTAAACACTAGGGCTATCTAGCTAAAGGATTAAACTCGCCGATTGTCTGATTGAAAGGCATCTTTCTCGGAGACGTTTTTCCTTCGATCCTTCACGTTCTCCTCCCAGCTGAAATTTATTACCATGGATTAGCAGGGAACTTCTTTAAGAAAGAATAAAAAGTCACTTCAATCAGGTTATATTTAAGTAGAATATCTATTTGCATCTATTTTAAGTAGAATATCCTCCTAAAAGTAAGATACAAGACAATTTAGAGATGAAATACCGAAATACGGATTTTTTTTACGGAAACAAGGAGGTTTGAAGAGTTCTATGCGGTAAAAAAACCTATTATCTTTATGGAAACAAGGAGGCTTCAAGAGTTTACAGATCTTTATGGAAACAAGGATCAGGATAACTTGCACAGATATCTAATAATAATTTATGGTTTTGATTTTATGTTAGAGAAGCTTCAGTTTTCCACTTGAACTCACCCCGAGCTCATCCTCCTCGGCAGCTCTCTCAGCTCATCTGGATCCATATTGATATCATTGGTCATGTCGTCCATTTTCAGAATATTATAGCAATAAAATTATAACTTAAAAGAGTCAGATTGATTCTGAATCAGATTGAAAAATCTGGACCAAATCCACGCTTTTGTAGGGGATTTTTGCTAACATCTGTGCTCCGTGTGATCTTGTTTTGAGGGAGGAAAAGAGAAAGAGAAAAATTCCACCCACAGGAAATTCTCTCGTAAACAGCTATTTCTCTTGGCCGGAGGACACATAATTGAGAGGTGTTATTTTGGGAGAAAAATGAGGAAAACAGGAAAAGGGAAACTCGGGGAATTTGGCGCTTGGGGAATTTGTTGTCAACAGCTGTTGAAACTTATTATCTACTAGTCTAAAAGGGCGCGGAAAGTGAGTAATGAAAGCTTAAGTTAATCAAAGATCAATATTATATTAAGGTTTTAGATCTTCTGTTCTGAAAAATCTGAAAAGTTGCCAATGGGTAGAGCAATGGACTCAATGGTTACGGGTTTAACTTCTGACTTGCTTTTTCTTGTTGTCTTCGCCGGGAGAATGAGAAAGTTGACGTTGTAGACGAAAGTACAGAGCACGTTGTAGAAAGAGCACGTTTTTCCTTCGTCTTTTTCTTTTTCCGCTAATTTGAGCGCTAAAAATCTCTAAAAAATATTATTGGGGTTATGTAGAAATAGGGAAAGATTGATTTTTAAGGATAAAGAAAAGAGAAAACGCCTTTAACCTTTATTTGACAGTATTTAACTGTTACAGAACATACCGCGTTTTGAACTCTCGCTATTTTGATTCCAAAGCTACTATTTTGAGTGTGTCTATTTAAGCAGACCATGTGAAAAATGAATAAAGAGAGGCTTTCATACATTCGTTGACAGCTGCTATGATGTTTTCCCAAAAAATTGCCCTACATTTGTTTTGTCTCTAAGTTGAGATCGAGTTATAAGGAACATGTGAAGTCTACTGATCAAAAATCAAACGCTTTTTGGAAAAATATGAAGGCAGATAGTAGACAGTGATAGAGGATAGAAATGGAATGAACAGCCGGACGCCTTTAACCTCTACGTGTCTACGTGTCATTCCATTTTACACGACTCCTTTCGGTGAAGACAAATGCCGTTGCGCAACCAAAGACCCGGTCACATTGTTTCTGATAGTGAGTTGGGATGTGAGGCGAGACTCTCTTGCTCGAGTCCAGGAGCTGATTGTCTTTTTCCTTTTTTGCATTGCAAGATCTAAGAGATTTGCGCCTTTTTGCCGGAAACCGTTCAGACAATCTGTAACGATACGGAAAACAATACGGAAAACTTCTTCTGAGGGCTCCAATTGACAGATTTCGATAAGAATTTGCAGAGAGCAGAGAGAACGGCACAAAGAATAGCAACAACGCATTACTAGTCTTATTTATCGAAAAAATATTGCTATTTTATTACCTTTTTACTGCCTTTTTTTTACTTTTTACTGCTTACTGCTAAATTTTATTTTTTACTATAAGTTTTTCAACTTTTAGTTTGTTTTTGCCTTTTTCTTGTACACAACTTGCAACACATTAAGTTAAAAGACAAAAAGCGGTAAATCAAAAGAACCAAAAAACAGATAGAATTCAAAGGATCAAGGAAGCGAAAATAGAATCAGATGAGAAGAAAATCGATAATTTTTGGAATCTATTTGATCTGAATGATCAACTATAAAAACACAACTTGGATGGATCATTTCTGTACATCCAAATACTTCTAAATAATGAAACTTCTTCATCGAATTAAGGGTCGAAAATCGGGTGGTTTTTGACTGACGTCGGTTCCCCTCTATTCTTCCGATCTCTGAAAGTTCGCTGTTTTTGATCCATCAAACTTTTTTGTTCAAGTAGTCCGTAATTTTCTCCACGAGTTAGAAATATTACGATAATTGAAAAGTTCGTTTAACTTTTTAAGTAGAAAAAGCGTGCGACTCGTGAAAAATAATAATTTCTATCAACCAGTGTTTATGGTCTACTTTTGGTAATCAAAAATAAACCAATGATCATTTGCTATGGATACAGTAACAACCATTCATAGTATTCTCAATAGTTCGATTTAAAAATACTTAAAAAGATGACATGAGAACAATTAAAGGTTAGTTTGTTATAAAGGTTCAATCTGTAAATTGTTTTCGCAGGATGCCCATCTTCAGGGTGCGCCATAATTGTCGCAACAAGATAAAGTTCTGATTTTAGGGCAGACAAGTGCATAAAAAGACAAATTTTTAACCGAATAACATTTACTATACATTAATAATTATATATCAACTATCAAATTCGAATCGGCCACCATTAGCATTTGAGCAGGCTCGCAGGCGTTTCGAGAGCGCCAACGATGGCGACCAAATAGGCTGGATCGAGCTCTTCCCACGCTTTCAACAGTGATTTCTTCAAGCTTTCGATGTTTTTGTGGGGCCTTGGACAAGCTTTGGCTTCTAAAACCGATCACACTGAAAAATCCATTGGGGTCAGGTCTGAAGAGCTAGGTGATCACTGAGAAAAAGAAATGAAGTCCGGGAAGTTGTTTTGGCAGAACTCTTGAACTTTCTTGGATTTGTGGGCCGGTGCGCCATCTTGCTAATAAGTCCTAATGCGATTTCCAAAATTTTTACGAGCTCAGGGTAAGAGTTCATCCTTGAGAAGAGCCAGGTAGTTATTGGAATTGACTTTGCGACACTTTGTTGCGACAATTATGGCGGACCCTGTTTCTATCCATGGATCTATCTATTAAACTATTTCCAAATTTGTTCCAAATTGTTTTTGAGTTCAAGAGCACTAATAAACCCAGAAATTAAAATTTTTCAGTTTTATCTGCATCTTGTTTCTTCGCGAACGAAAGGAAAACAAACCAGAGATACAAGAGAAAAGCACAAAAGTAACCACCTTATCCCGCTCCAGATGATTTCAAGAAAACTTCAATACATTTATTTGAAGATTTCATGTACAGATTGATGTTTATGATAGGCAAAAGATATGAAGAAAATAGACTTTTTTAAAAAAATATTGGGTTGGTGAAATGAAAACTGCGGGACTTTGAACTAAAATTTATCCAACATAAAACCATCAATTCATTCCAAATAATTTCCATTATTATTGACGACTTCTGCCCATTTTACAGGCAATTTGCGGATTCCTCTTTCGTAGTAGGATTTTGGTTTGTATGTGAGACAAGTGTGAGACTCAAAAATGGAGGACTGGAGATGGAGACTGGAGATCCCAGTTTGAGCACTTTCTTCAAAAGAAACCCATTTTGGTGTCAATGGAAAAGTTGTAGAGAATCAAAAATTAGGCTTATAGCCAAATTTCCAAAAAGATACACTTAGTAGTTTCACTTAAAATGCAAGTTTTGTGAAAATTCGTAAATTTGGCATTTCTTGAAAACCAGTTTTTGAATCGTTCTGAAAATTTGAATATAAACTTGATTTTTGTTTCTCTACAACTTTTCCATTGACACCAAAATGGGTTTTTTTTGAAGAAAGTGCTCAAACTGGGACATATGACAAGCCCGCAGTTTTCAATTCACCAGTCCAATAGATTAAAGGCCAAAACAAAACCAATTTCTGATAAAAGTAGCCTCCATCGGCGTGTTTTTCTATTTGAGATATTGTTTTTTTTAAAATTTCTGTTAAGCTTGTACACTTTGCAACCATAAATATCACAAAACAATAAAAAAATGGCAGTTCATGCAATAAAATATTTAATATTTTCAGAAATTCAATTACACATTGACAGCCGGCTTGGCACTGGCAGCTCGACGACGATAAAACTCATAACAAGTGACAATCATTAACCCAAGAATCGATAGGGTAAGAGCAAGCGAGATGTTTCCAAAATTCGATGACTTTGGCGTCGCGTCGCTTGCTTTCACGTGAGCTGTATCGAAGCCGAAACAATCGGTTCAACCTCCTGTTGAGGCGACCATCTTCTTCTCGACACTCACAGTGTATTTCAACTTTTAAATATAAAAATGTGTCTTCAGGATTGCTATTCGCATTTTATACAGTTAACTTGCAAAAATTTGAATGTTTGAATTTGAATGAATCCAAAAAATGTTCCAAAAATTGATCCAGTTTGAAGGGTGCACACTAATTTTTTGTACGATCCATCATCATGACTATGATGCATCATAGTTCATGGATAGTATAAGAGAGAGCTTAACAAAAAGTCGTCAGTATAAAGCTTCTCAAAATCTAAGCTAATGATAAACCATTTTCTTTTTATCATTAAAACTTGTGTATTTTGACGGGTGATATTCTTTGATGTGGCCTGTGTCCGACTGTGACTCCTCATATCCTCATTTTCACTGTCCGTTTCTTTTCCAACCCGATCTGGAGCACCTTGATTGGAAAACCAAGAGTTCCCGTTTGGTTTCATTGGTTATGTGAGAATGGGTCTTCGTTTCACTTGTCTTCTCCACCACCCTCCGTCATCCCGATGTTGTCAAAGCCAAATTCTCCTGCATTGTCCATCTCTCTGTTGTCATGTGTTCCGACTAAGTGCCACTCTATTTTACAAGTCTCCTTTCGGTGAATGCAAATGCCGTTGCGCAACCAAACTGGCCCACATTAAAGGCATCCGGTTTCGGTCTTCGTGCCGCAAGAGATTCGGCGATGTCAATGATTTTATTACTTGGAACCCCTTCTTTGAAAATACAAACATTTGTAGTTGTTTTTCTGGTGACGTGGGTAAACGGGGAAAATCAAAACTTCTTTAAACTCTTTGAAGTTTGAAGCAGAGTCTGCGTGAGTATCTATTAAGATTTATTTGCCTAAACATTTTAAGCTATTTTTCTGAATAGGGTACTATCAAAGAGTTAGGGAATCATTCAAGTTTTACTTTTTTCAAAACCTTTCCCAGCTTCAAGCATTCATCTTATTACCAATGTGAACAATTCTGATAAAAGAGTGATGACTCGTGCCTGGCTCATTTTGACAGCTTTTCACTCCGATTCGATACATCACTTTTCCGAGCCAACGAATAACCACCTTTCGATAGCTTCCCGGCACAAAGATCACGATGAGACTCGTGAAAAATGAGTGCAGATTGATCTCGAATGGAGTCAAGGTGGACACTAAAGCAAAACGTGGCTGATTGGCATTTGCGGACATTGTTAAGCTGCTATTCTCGTTTTCTTTTCCTAACCTTTCCATCAGTCGTTGAAAAGATCCAAAGTTTTCCTAAAAACAAACCCGTTTGAATGAAATCACTTTGGTTTTGGTCGAAAATGCTGACACAGGCACAGCATATCGGAATCGCTATGCATAATACGATGACAAAAATCTAAAAAGCACAGTGAAATGCTTAGATAATAGCTGATGTACAAGACAATACTAAAATAAAAATATTAAGTACATGCATAAGAAATGCGGATTTCAACATCTTTTTTGCCCACGTAATTTGTAGATCTGCTACAATTGGAATATACATGTAATGCTGAAAAACAGCAAAAAAAACCAATTAATTGAATGAAAATAGCTCAATTAGCGCTGCAGCGGTCCGTTCCTGAGTTTTTGCTGCAGCGATGCAGAAGTTTCGAATGGGTTAATGAATTGATATATATTAGGTTGATGCATAAGTCTTTTCGTTCCTTTTCGTCTGCCGTTTCAAGCCAACAAATGCACCAATTAAACTACGGTTGGTTTCATTAGAAAAACCAATTATTTTTCTGCAAAATAACATTAAAACGGGTTTAAAAATATTTTATGCCTGGATTTTCTTGAGAGTATGAAGTCGGGTAGTCAAAAAGGGCTAACTTAGCTAAAGAAAACCTATCTTCGTGTCAATAGATAAAAGATAGAGAAAAAAAAGTTTGATATTTCGCCAAAATTTCAGAGAAATTCATTCAGCCAATTTTTCCGTAGAGTTTTTTATAGATTTTTACGAAAAAGGCGTTTTTCACTCTCGAATTTGCTTGAAAGTGAACCGAAATTGATTTAAAAAGATGCAAATTGAACAAAAAAACACTTTTTTTATAGAGCAAACTATAGATTAATTGGTGAATTTGTTACTTTTTAACAGAAGTACGAAAAAAACGAAAAGACTTATGCATCAACCTAATAGTTATCCTTTTTTTAAAATCTTCAATTCTGGGAAGCTAACTCTATTTTGACCACACTAAACTTGTCCCTAAAGTGACTCGATTCTTTTTTTTGGTCACTCGCATTTCGCCCTCGAAATTTCTTCAATGGTTCGATCAATTGAAACACGTTTTAGCCTATTTTGTAGAGGAGATTTATAACTTTCAAATAGTTTATAACATTCATCGATATCAGGTTTCTATCGTTGGAAATTTATGAAAATGTTGAAATCCGCATTTCTTATGCATGTACCTAATAAATTGGACTATATGAACTGAACTGGAGTTCAATCCTCTCTCATCAAAAAAAACATAGCTTCTACCGATGACCTACTTGCGAGAAGATCATAATCGTGAATGTTTGTTGCATTTCCCGGGTACTCTGACTGATATTTGTCGGTCGAATGTAGGAATCATAGGCGAGAATTACCACCATCACCGCCCCACCGAGAATCAACGCGAGGATCAGCGCCAGAACGCACTGCACTCCGTGGATCAAATCGGGACTCGCATCAATTGTTACCGTGTACGGGAAATTCTCCCCACAAAACAGCGGATTCCTTGTACAGATCTGAAAGTGTGAAACGTGAGAAGGATTTTGCATTTTTTTTTGTTAAATTATGAATACTTTTTGAAATTTACACTTACTCCGTGTTAACTCTGTGTTCTTTTGAAAATAACCCCTCAAAATTTCTTCAAGAGCTTACTATGTCACCAGGCTTTCACCCACCAGCACAGGATCATCAGAAATCGTGCCGCTGAGATAAGTCTTGAGAAAAACTATGCCAGTCACGATAATCAACGCTCCAATCAGTAAATAGAAATACAGATACATGAACCAGGTGGCGAACGGTGACCAGAACGGATGGGAGAGGGCTGTTCGATAACTAGTTAAACACAGAAAACACCCGCCACAAAGCTGGATCATGAAGAAGTAGGCTTCCTGGAAGAACTGTTTTCATTTTTTTTCTGGAATTTCTGAAAGAGAAATTAAAAGAAGTGTATAAAACATTTCATAAGAATTTCCAAAAAAACCTCCAAAAACTAGACAAATCTGTTTTCCACCAAAAGATTCGATGACTGATTTTCATGGATAAGCTGTTGTTATGTGTATTGGTATTGCTGTATTGGTATTGCTGTATTGATATTGCTGCATTGATATTGCTGTATTGGTATTACTTCATTGGTATTGCTTATTTAAAGCAAACCACACGTTTATCGGCTAATTATTCATTTATAAACGATTGCTGTATTGGTATTGCTGCATTGATATTGCTGCATTGATATTGCTGCATTGATATTGCTGTATTGGTATTGCTGTATTGGTATTGCTGTATTGGTATTGCTGCATTGATATTGTTGCATTGATATTGCTGCATTGGTATTGCTGCATTGGTATTGCTGCATTGGTATTGCTGCATTGGTATTGCTGTATTGGTATTGCTGTATTGGTATTGCTGTATTGGTATTGCTGTATTGGTATTGCTGTATTGGTATTGCTGTATTGGTATTGCTGTATTGGTATGGCTATATTGGTATTGCTGTATTGGTATTGCTGTATTGGTATTGCTGTATTGGTATGGCTGTATTGGTATTGCTGTATTGGTATGGCTGTATTGGTATTGCTGCATTGATATTGCTGTATTGGTTTCGCCGGAAAGTCTTGTCCGCCTTTTTGAAAATGAAAGTCTTGTCCGCCTTTTTCGTTTATAAATGAATAATTAGCCGATCAATGTGTGGTTTGCTTTAAATAAAAAAAGATTAACTATTACATTTAGCTTTTTTGGGCAAATTTGAGTCCGCTTTGAGGTAAATCCGAACGGGAATTCTTGTTTTTCCTAGAATCTTTACGATGAACATAGAATGAAAACGGCTTGGTGAAATGTTATGAAAATTTGTCTATTTGCCAGCTTTTCATTCTCCATCTTTTATCTTTTGACACTAAAAGATTTGGGTTGTCCATAAGTTCTTGCGGCTCTTTAATTAAGTGATTTCTTAAGAACCAGCCAACAGTTTCATCTGAAATTTCTGCTCAATAATCTATAAGTTTATGCTAACTAGTAGACAAAATGTGACAACGATTGCTTGGTTCAATAAAGGACAATTTGTAAACTTACCGTTATGATACAGAAGTGCGCGAGCGAGTGAATCCACGAGACGCCGACGACGAACATTCGCGCTTGAGAGAACATTACTGGCTTGAAACTTGACCCCACCCCGTCACAAACCATGGCGGTGGTCTGAAACAAGTATAAAACAAATCAATAAATGATATTCTTATACACGATTAGGTGAACGGGATTTTCAGACGGTTTTATTGCCTATCAGCTATTAAATTAATCACTTCTCATGTTAGAGTCTAGAGAATAGGCTCAACCGTGGATCCTTTGATATTGGGTTTAGTGGATTTACTTCCACAAAAACACTCTTCTACAATGGAGGACACAATTTCACCCAAGGAGCACGTACAAGGAAAGGTCAACTCAATGTGCTGGCCAAATCACACGAGCTATAGACCATTCGACGCAGAATTTCACGATGATCATGATGTTGCTTTTCTTTTTTGCTACGAAGCGCTCTGTCAAAAGTTATTAGCGTATCAAGTTTCATTAAAGTTTCAAAAATCAAACCTCGACATTACAACCCTGTTTTCCGGGATCTCACCAGTTGCACCGGTGGCGGAGTGGTGTTGAGTTGAGACGCAGGTCGAGGGCTCTCTGGTTTGAGTCCAGCAGCTGATTGTCTTTCTTTTTTGCCTGACAAAATCCTTATGATGATTACTGGGAACGGGCACAATCGTATAGCATCTGGCACACCACTAATACGGATAAGGAGTCTGGATCAAGGCATTAAAACCTAAAAAAAGAAAAAGACAATCCGGTACCGGACTCGAGCCAGAGAGCCCTCGACCTGCGTCCCGACACACTACCATCCAGCCACCGGTGCAACTGCTGAGATCCCGGAAAACAGGGTTGTAATGTCGAGGTTTGGTTTTTAAAACTCGCAAAAAAGAAAAACAGCATCATGATCAGCGTGAAATTCTGTGTCGAATGGTCTATGGCTCGTGTGATTTGGTCAGCACATTCAGTTGAGCCTTCTCTTGTTAGTTAGAATCTCTTTTTTGTTCTGTTATAAACCCTTGAATAACCGACCAGCTGTGCTCCGATGATAATCTTTGAAGTCTTTGAGGCCGGGGATTTTTGCGTGAGAATAAAGAAGAGAGCGATCGCATAACAGGTGAGTGATACAATGAAGCCAATGGTATAAGCCTCAGAGATACGATTTATTGTCTCAAAATCAGGAGAAAACATCGAGTCGATTTGGTTAATGAAATCAATTTTCTGAGAAATTTTTGAGGAACCTTTCTCGAGCCTGGAATAACAGGAGAACAGGTGAATGTTTGGTGAATTTAAACATATAGAAAACAGGTGTATTTAGTCAAATACAATGTTGAATTTGCTCACTGTTTCTATTTTTTTGGGCTCTCGCATCACGATGAAATATTTTGGATAATGATAACGGAGGCTTAGAATACAGAGTCTCTTATAATCTATCATTACTATTTTGAGCTTAGAGTTTAAGGATTGTGGATCAATAATATCGTCTAAATGTTCTTAGAGAGTTAAATAAGTTTTGTAATGAATTTTTTTTGAGCTTTGTTTTTTCGAACTGAGAATACAAAGTTTTTCTTTTCAACTGATTGGAATAAGAAAAACAAAGTCTCAAATTACCTTTCGATCTATTATTTCCGCCTGTTCTTTGTTCCATCACAGTTTTTTATTATTCTTTCTCCAATATCCAAGTTGAGTCATTTTTGAGTTGAGAAAGAAAACCCACAAGGAATTCCTTTGTTTGCATGAGTTTGCGTACGAGTTTGCGTTCCCATGCGAGTTCCCATGCGAGTTCCCATGCGAGTTCCCATGCGAGTTCCCATGCGAGTTCCCATGCGAGTTCCCATGCGAGTTCCCATGCGAGTTCCCATGCGAGTTCCCATGCGAGTTCCCATGCGAGTTCCCATGCGAGTTCCCATGCGAGTTCCCATGCGAGTTCCCATGCGAGTTCCCATGCGAGTTCCCATGCGAGTTCCCATGCGAGTTCCCATGCGAGTTCCCATGCGAGTTCCCATGCGAGTTCCCATGCGAGTTCCCATGCGAGTTCCCATGCGAGTTCCCATGCGAGTTCCCATGCGAGTTCCCATGCGGAGTTCCCATGCGAGTTCCCATGCGAGTTCCCATGCGAGTTCCCATGCGAGTTCCCATGCGAGTTCCCATGCGAGTTCCCATGCGAGTTCCCATGCGAGTTCCCATGCGAGTTCCCATGCGAGTTCCCATGCGAGTTCCCATGCGAGTTCCCATGCGAGTTCCCATGCGAGTTCCCATGCGAGTTCCCATGCGAGTTCCCATGCGAGTTCCCATGCGAGTTCCCATGCGAGTTCCCATGCGAGTTCCCATGCGAGTTCCCATGCGATTCCCATGCGAGTTCCCATGCGAGTTCCCATGCGAGTTCCCATGCGAGTTCCCATGCGAGTTCCCATGCGAGTTCCCATGCGAGTTCCCATGCGAGTTCCCATGCGAGTTCCCATGCGAGTTCCCATGCGAGTTCCCATGCGAGTTCCCATGCGAGTTCCCATGCGAGTTCCCATGCGAGTTCCCATGCGAGTTCCCATGCGAGTTCCCATGCGAGTTCCCATGCGAGTTCCCATGCGAGTTCCCATGCGAGTTCCCATGCGAGTTCCCATGCGAGTTCCCATGCGAGTTCCCATGCGAGTTCCCATGCGGGTTCCCATGCGAGTTCCCATGCGAGTTCCCATGCGAGTTCCCATGCGAGTTCCCATGCGAGTTCCCATGCGAGTTCCCATGCGAGTTCCCATGCGAGTTCCCATGCGAGTTCCCATGCGAGTTCCCATGCGAGTTCCCATGCGAGTTCAGCTGCTCGTTGTCTTCATTTTTGAATGTACTCAATCGAGGATAAACAGGTGATGCTCTGGTAGTGAAGACATTTCAAGGCTTTTGAGAAGATTTTATTGACATTCATCAGTGTGGTAGAGCGGATCTCGGAGATTCAATTACCCGTCACCGCGCTCATATTGGATTTATTAATCGTCCAGTTATTCAACCAATTCCAACTGTCGGGAAGCTTCCTGATTGGTGCCAGAATGAGGCTGTGAGTAAGATTCCAGTAACTCTCATAGCAAGTGAATAAGACAATGGTGAAGACTAGATTTGTAACGAAAACATTTGTTGGGCCTTTTTTTGCCAGTGGCAATTTAAGGATTTTCGTGTTTTTCTCATTAACAACCCTTCAATTTTGTCTTTTTTTGACTATCATTCGATGCAGAATAAAATTGCGCGTCAAATGATACAAAAATCGACTCAAAATGTAATATCCATGCAAAGTTGTTGGCTAAAAACCTAAACTCCGTTCACTATGGGAGAGATAAAGAAATAGATCGCAAATAGGTTCGGAAAAAATCATCAATCGAATCAGCGTACCCGAAAACCTTTTCTGGCAACATGCCTGAGGCAGAGGTGGCAAAAGCTCCTTTAAAATTCTCCGTCCCTTATAAGGGAAGAAATTAGACCCAATCGCCTTCCATCCGCCCCTTTCTAGTTATAATATTTCATTTTTTCAAGCTCGCTTGCTTGCTCGCCCTGCCCCTTGGTGTAAATTTGCACAAACTCATTTTTGTCTTGTAAAACTTTACAAAATCTCGCCCCGCCCCGCCTCTTTTGACCACCTCTGGCTAGAGGCATTTTGGAAGCCCCAAAACTGCCCTCCAACCCGTATAGCCCCTCAATTTTTCTGAAAATTTGGCTTTTTACCTAACTTTTTGTGCTCTATCTTTTATCTATTGACACCAAGATAGGTTTCCATTAGCTAAAGTGTCTAAACCGCATCATCATCATTGAGCATCATCGCCCTTTCTGACTACCTGACTTCAAGCTTCCAAAAAAATCCAGACATAAGACATTTTAAACCCGTTTTAATCTTATTTTACAGAAAAATAATTGGGCCTTTCTAATGAGAAAAACCGTAGTTCAATTGGTGCATGTGTTGGTTTTAAACGAAAGTACGAAAAGAAACGAAGAGAGTTTCTGGACAGCCTAATAATTAGCAAGGTAACCCACTAACTTGGCTACGGTAACCCTAACCCAGTTAGTCGATGCCAGGGTTTGAAAGATTACCGTCACAAAGACTTCAAGGTTAATCATTACTCATTACGGAAGTACGAAAAGGAACGAAGAGAGTTTCTGGACAGCCTAATATCTAGCATTTAGACGTAAAACTTTCCTTCAGTTGGTTTAGCAAAATTGCCAAAAGTGTGCTGATGTTCTAACTTTTTATTTTATAAACAGTCAAGTTATTTGACGAGGATCGAGGATCAACAAATCGTCGTCTCCGTCTCTTTATTCAGCCAATCACAAAGTTTTCGGGTGATCGGAGTCGCTTTTGCTGGAATTGGCAAACCCTCTTGAAGGATTTCAGAAAACTAACTGTAAGCGAGGGTCGAGGAATCGCTGATGATTCCCACTTGATACCAAAGATCACCAAATTTTGCCACAAGGGGACCACCGGAATCACCCTGAACTTGACAAACGTCTTTATGATAACCGATTGATCTTTGTTTTGGTTTTGTTAATCAAGTTGTGTGATTTCGTTGACGGAAACAGATTTAGTGTAAAGTTATGTTACGACGGAAAGCAGATTCGGATTCAGCATGAAATTCTACGTCGATAGGTCTATGGCTCATGTCATTTTGACCAGCCTATCCAGTTGACATTCTCTTGTGCGTTAGACTTACCCTAGTCGTGGCTTTTCCGCGACCACAGAATGTCTCTTCATCATCAAGACAGTCGACACGCAAAACAGCCTCTTGCACTTGGGTTCTTTCTCCTGAATTGAATCCTTTAAAATTAGACTGAAAACTGGCTGGGAGGAGCGTTAAACTTATAGCCAGATTGCCAGAAAATTCAAGCCAGCCCAAAGTCAAGTTTTTCATGACTTCATTGGCTTTTGATAGCTTTTGCTGGCCTTGCCAATTGCCTGATCTGGCCTGGCTACAAACTATTTAGTCCAGTCAAAGCCAGGCTAAAACCTGCTACTTTGGCCTGGTCTTGCCTGGCCTGAAAGGCATCTTTATCGTTGACCGCTCTGCCGTCTCCCAGCTTTGCAAACTGGAGGGAAATGTGCAACGATGTGCAAGATGCAACAACATCCAAAAAGTGGTCCACCACTTAAGAGAACAATTAGACAGGACCGTTCATTGATCAGGATTTTCTCAAAGGATCCAAACAGGACGAGTACCGACGGTGCCAAGATGCTTCAATTTCCTTTGGACTTAAAGTGACCGCTAAAACGATTCGAAATTGGTTCAAATTGGCCTGATTCTTTGCTCGACGACCAGCACGAAAGGCTCTAATAGTTTTGAGACATCGGCGATTGAGATTGGCCTTCGCAAAGAGGTACAAACATTGGACGGTAAAGGCCAAAGCTTGGCTTTATTGTTTAGTGTTTAGTGCAAATTGTTGCATCAACCCACTTACCATCGCCCATTCCAAACGCGATCATCGGTTGCTTCATCATCAACGGCCTTGCCCGGAGACACACTCGCTTTCCAAGATCATCATCGGTATTAATATCAGAATCAAGCTAGAAGCTGACTTTGGAAGTTTTCTATCTCATCTATCTTTTAGTGCAAACTTATTTTATTGTCAAGTGTGTTATTCTTTCTCAACCTTCAAGAGAGCCACATCACCGTCATTCCAAACGCGAGCTATTTGTTGCGGGCCTTGTACCTGAAAGAAATTGTTCTTTCAATTTCAACAATTTTAAACCTCAAACTTGTTGTCTCTCACATATCTGTATTTCAAGTAGTAGTACCATTGAACGTTTTTTCGGACACAACTTGCCGCAGTCAACACCCATCCCGGCGCGATATAGGAACCGCCGCAGTTTGTCAATTCGTTGGTGTCACTTAAAGTAAATTTTGTTACACAATTGATTAGTGAGTTTTTGATATAAGAAAAGTTATTCTTGAAGTTATTCTTGAATTGGGGAATTGATGAGTAAGATTGATTAAATGCAGTCCTTGTCTAAGCTGGAACATTCTTTAACACATTTACGACAAGCTATTCTTGGCTTGGCTACCGTTTTGAACGACAGCTACCTATGTTAGTTGTAAACCGGAGACATTCTGGGATCGAGAATGTGAATCCATTATTAGTTTTTGAGCAACTTTAATTTTCAATTCAATACGGTCATCACAAAACTCTCTAAAATTTGGGTAATTAAACCGAAAGAAATCTCCAAAAATAGAGGAGTTTTCTTTAAAAATTAATAACGGATTCGAATTCGTTGATCCCGAAAACTTCCTGGTACAAATTTTCAGCCCAATCGACCATCGACCTTAAAACAGTGCTAAATTCACGTACGGTCCTGGTGGATCTGAATCCGTTATTACTCGGTATGACTACCGAATACGTTAAGAGTTAGAGACTCGGAAAACGAAAAACCCACTCGTCCACATGTTCAACGCGAACAAAATATGGATAGCTTAAATCTTTGGCATCTTCCCCTTGTTTGATCTTCAAATTTCTTGGGCCAAAAGTCTAAAGCTGAGCCTGGAGAACTGGAAATTTAAATGAAATCTGGACTAGCGAAAGCGAAAGCGAAAGCGAAATGGTATGGTAAGCACAAAAATGGATTGGAATCGTTCAAGCAACAAATTTCCAACACATTTCAACACATTTAAGAAACTTTTCAAATAAACTAACAACGTTAAAAAGGCTGCTGCAAATGTTACAAGCAAAAGTTTGGTTTTTGGGTCTCAACTGGGTCAAATCCTCATATTAATTACTGTTACCGTACCCGTTTACCGTTAGTTAGTTAGTTACTAGTTAGTTAGCTAGAGAATGTACCCATGAAGCCGGCTCCACGTTTACTTTGCCGCATTCGAAATCTGAAAATATCGAATTTTGCCTATCCACCACAACAGTTACCTCTTTTTGGCTCTTCCTCAAGAAATATGAGATAAAAAAAGAGCTCAAGTACATTTAGTAAATCCATTTCAGTGATTGTTCGTTGTAAACTCAAAACTATTTGCTGAAAAAATTTGAAAACGTTTTGTGACACAATTTGACGATAGAAAACACTTTTCAGAATACAAATGAAGTAGTGAAGCTGTAGGCGATACGTTTTACGAATCTTATCTTTACAAAGCTTCTATAGTTGTACATTAAATTTTGATTTTTTTGATTTAAGAGTCTCAAAAGAGGCTTTCAAAAGTAAGACTGGAACTCATTGCTTGCAAGGATTGATTGTGAGCTACCGTACCCGTTTACCTTTAGTTAGTTAGTTACTAGTTAGTTAGTTAGAGAATGTGCCCAAGAAGCCGATCGCTGATTGTGAGCTTGTAACTACTGTTACAGCTTGCTACAGTTTCATTTCAAAATCGGTTTCGTTGAAATCGAAAGACAGTTCACCTCGTTGAGTCAATCGTTTAATTCACTGAATTGAATAAAGCAATCAAAAACCTTCAAAGAAAGATAGAAAAAGCTGTTTACTGCTTTGATATCAACTAAAAAGTTCAATATTTGAAAAGTTCAAGACAAATTATTGGCATTATTATTGTTTATTGTCTCTAAATATTTTTCGTATTTATTTTTTAATTGAAAACGGAATCTACGCATAAAGCTACCCCAGAAAAAGTGGTTTTGAGGAAAAAAAGTGCCTCTCAACTGGCGTAGTACCGATTTTTTTTCATTTTGCTATTACAGGGTGACAAGAATTACCGCAACAACTTTTTGGAAGAGTATCTAGGAAATGTCTAATTTATTTCAAAAGTGGCAAGTGTTATTTAGAGAATTGTAGTCCTGAATCTTGGCTATATTTATCTGCCAAAAACATCCCGATTAGACTTATACAACTCATTTAACAAGCGCTTGAATGAGCGCTAGTCGACTTCTTTCCGGCGAATCTGTCATTTGGCCACTTTTCTCTATTAAAAATTGTTAAGAAAAGCTTTTCTCAGTCAAATTTGTGGCAATTTTGTCCCAAAAAAAATTGTTTTCAACAAAATCATAGCGCCAGAACAGCTGATATAACCAGATACGCATATGAACTGAATATCGAAAATACAGAATTTTCCCTGCTCCTTCAAAAGGAGCTTGACATCAACTCAAATTTTGGTTATGCCAGTCCAGCCAAGTGTGGTTCCTAATGTTATTAAGTGATATTAAACGCTATTTTTGCATTGAAGAAATATTGAAAAGCTTTTCTTAACAATTTTTAATAAAGAAAAGTACCCAAATGACAGATTCGCCGGAGAGAAGTCGACTAGCGCTCATTCAAGCGCTTGTTAAATGAGTGGTATAAGTCCAATCGGGATGTTTTTGGTAGATAAATGTAGCCAAGATTCAGGACTACAATTCTCTAAGTAACACTTGCCACTTTTGAAATAAATTAGACATTTCCCCGATACTCTTCCAAAAAGTTGTTGCGGCAATTCTTGGTCACCCTGTAGATACTTTGATTTTGTAAAGAATTTATTCAAATGACATGAAAACGAAAAAAAATGAACAACGAAATATTGGGTACGAGACCAGAGATTACGGTATTCACAAGTTACTGTAAAAATAAACGAAGAAAAAAATGAAACGAGCAACGTTGACAAGTAAAAGTAAAAGTAAACATAAAAATGAACGAATCCTGAGTCGATAAGTGGAGGTAGGTCCTGGGACGAGTTGAGATTTTTGAAATAACATTTTCAAGAAGGAAATTTCATTTGAGAAATTTCAGATTTCAGAATTGACACTTGGTGAAGTCAAAATGATAACATGCACAGTCCCTGAGGGCAAAAATGAGTTTAAAACAAGGAAAAAGAATTGGATTTACGATAAATTTGACACGCAACGAATTTTGAGAAGAAATTTCTGAGAGAGAAATTATAAGTTAGGACCAGTAAAGGAATTGTTTTGAGGTGACAAAACTTGTTTGCGATTACGGTAGTTTTATGCTGGATGTTTTATGCTGGAGTTTTACTGTAGCCAGGTAGAGTTGAAGTAATAAACAGGTAGAGTTGAAGTGCTTAAACGCATGGCTTCTGGTATACTAGTTACGAGTTTATGTAAACGAATCGAGCTTCTGTAAACGTATCGAGTTTCTGTAAAGCCTAAGCCTAAGCCTAAGCCTAAGCCTAAGCCTGAGCCTAAGCCTAAGCCTAAGCCTAAGCCTAATTCCAATGAGCATCACCAATGAGCATCAACATCTTATCATCTTATCAATGAGCCCTGGGAACTGGCCGAAATCTAGAAAATGGGAGTTACCTTCAGAACCAAATTTACTTAGTGCGAGACACTAGCCTTTGCACTAAGTTCAAGCCTAAGCCTAAGCCTGGCACGATCCTGTAGGCTTAAAAGCACGGAGTCTGGCTATCAAAAACATCTGCAACACTGAACTCTAGCAAAATCTGTCACCTCTTTTTGACAAATCAACCAAATTGCCGTAGACACTGTGCTAAAAACTTTGCAAAATACGCTCAAATCGTTTTAAAATCCCAGGAAATCTGGAGAAAAAAAAGAAAAATGACAAAGCAAAGAAAAAAAAATTCTGGGCAAGTACAAAACATCGAATCATGAAATTGAGAAAAGGGTGGTTTTTTTTGAATGACACTTTTTAAAATTGAAAGATTCGGTTTAGATGAACTAGTTTTTTCAGGAATCACAATGAGTTATTTACACAAACAAACATTTTCGACCATTTTTGAGGTCACACACATGAAAGACGTAAATTTGGGTAAAAGACAAGATTTGAGAAGAATCGATGAGAAAAGGTAAAAGGGGAAATTTTGGCCGAAACCAATTGGAGTGCATAGCTCAACTGGCTAGGCTTTAGCTTTGCTTTTCGAGCGAAACCAAACCCTCATTGTTTAATGAGGTTTCGGTTCGGTTCGGACCTCGATTTAGGTCAAAATTTCTGATTTAAAAGCCTCAAAGACTTGGAAATATAAATGGAAATCGAATCATTCAAGTTCTTTTTGGGATTTGGTGTTTGAAAGCACAAATTTGTAGGAATGGGAAAAATTTAGAACCACTAGACGAGTACTGCAAATTAGAAGGGATTTTTTTCTACATCGGGAAGCGAATCACTAGGGGGACTGCACTAGATGGGAGCTCTAAAAGATGGGATACGGTAGTCTCTTTGGGTTACTGTAGCCGGACGACTGTAGTCGGGCGACTGTAGCCGGGCGACTGTAGCCGGACGACTGTAGCCGGGATACTGTAGCCGGGCGGCTGTAGCTTCATTGATGAGATGCTTGCAGAAGGTGGAGATTGAAATTGAGTGGATCGTGAGCGTGGTGACCGCAACGCTGACATTGGAACACGTGCTCGTAGCCGTGGTAGCCCATGTGAATGTGGTAGAGGGATTGATCCTGGAATTGAAGGCTTTAGAAGGGTTGATGAGGCTCAATTTTTAAACTAAAGGATTCTATGGAATCTAGACTGTTAGCCTCAGCACTAGACCTACAGTAATCCTACAGTAATCTCAAATAGCCTAAACTAATCCCAGAAAAACCTAAAGTAATCTCAAAATAGCCTACAGTAGCTGAATTACTGTAGCTACATTCTGAATAAAGTAGCCTACAAAGTTGACTACAGTAATTCAAGAATAGCCACAGTCGTCTCAAATCCAGTATCCCAGATTAGTCTACAGTAATCCTACAGTATCCCATTAATCCCAGACCTTCTTCACTGCTTAGTAAGCCTGATACTTACTTCTACAATAATTAGTCAATAATAACACCGAACGTTTTGATCAATCATGAAATTCACTGAAATCTTACCGCGAAAGCCATCTTGCAGTGTGGGCACATGAAACGGAAAGCTTGATTCTCTTCATCGCGCTTCATCTAGAACTAACGATTGTTTAGGATAGATTGGATAGAATTCTTTCAAACAATTTACCTGCATTGAGCTAATGTGAGCAAGAAGTGCTTGTTGATAGATAGAGAGAGGACCTTCCACATTGGGGAGAGTTGGCATTGGGTGAGCAATAGCAGGTGGAGTTCGTTGAAGAGAGTCCACATGAACATCCGATGGTGAAGAGCTCGGTTCAGCGACAAGAGCCTAGAATGAATGGTAACTTTCAATGGTAACTTTCAATAGAAAGTTGCGAGCCAAATAAGTAAATTTTACAGTAAAAGATTGCTTTCAAAACTCACATCATCGTCATTGTTGTTGTCTTGTGCTGACGAGTCGTCACTTCTCTGTGACGGGCTCTTTCCTTGACTCAATCGTGCAGAGATCTCTTCGAGTTTCCTCATTTTTCTCTTCCTCTTCCCTTCTCCATCTCTTCCTTCTTCTTCGCCACTTGATCCCATCGGGCTTGAAGAACATCCAGAAGATTCTCCGATTTCATGCTCTGGAGTCATCTCATGACCGTCACTCTCCTCTTTAACCTAGAACAGGAATCATTTGTATGATTTGTATGAAGTATTGTTTGATTTTAGCAGTCAAGTTCTAAAAACTGACCACATCAATCCCACTATCGTGACTATTTGGTGGATGGAGTGGTGGAAGTGGTGGAAGTTGAAGACTCGACAAGAACGGCGGCAATGGTACCGAATTCGATTGACTCACTTGCGCCAACAAGTTCAAGTTGAGATGGGTCATATTGTGACGAATCATGTCTTCCTAAAAGTGTCTCCCAATAGACAATTTCTTTGCTTTAACAAACCTGAGAGCCGGTGGAGAACTCGCAAACAGTACACTTAAGGGGAACATTTGGTGGTGGAAGTCCTGGCAAGAGACCGGGCAACTGATCGAGTTGGAGCTGAAAAGAGGTGGTGGTTAAAGTATTGCCAAGACTTTCAAAAAAATATATTGACCGAATAAACTTTCAGCTATAAACTCACCGGATTCTGACGAAGGAGCAGATTTAGGGGTCCTGGCTGCGAGCCGGGATAGTTCAATCCGTGTGGTGGCGAGAATGGAGAGCCCAATCCGAGGCTTTGAGCAAGAGTTGTCGGTGGGAGTGGTGGCTTCAACTCCAACGGTCCTCCAATGTTCAATCCGACACTCTCCGTCAAGCGTTGGAAGGCCGAGTCCACGGAGCCGATTGACTAAAATCCAAGTGTTAAACTTGATCTGGAATTGTTTCTCTTGTAGTTTCTTGCTTGCAACTTTGTCTAATTCATTTGTTTTTTGTTTTTTATTCTTTTCCCGTTTCCAGTTCTACTTTTTGATCCAGGAAGTGTTTACAAAACTGTAAAAGGCTTAATTTGGACAAAAACAAAACCTATTTTTTTGAATCTTTCCAATTCAATTCCCTTTTCTATTAATCCTCATTTGAAAAACAAAAATTCAAAATACAAGGGTTTCACTTAATTCCAGCGAAATTAAGTTTATTTTTGGTGATTTTAAATTCATCAAAACAATGGAATTATCTCTTAGAAATCCAAGAAATCCAAACATAGCTTCAATTAAGTTTGACCAGCCGTTTTTCGATTACTGTAGCTTTATCTAATGAAATTCTTTGAAATTCTCTAAAACCTTGAATCTTGAAAACCTTGAAATCCCAAAAAAGTTTTCATACAACTACAAGCTTCAAGAGTTTTTTTTAAAAAACGAAAACATTTTCAGACCAAAAAAATCATTTTTCAATCAAGTACACTTTTGGAAAAGCTCAAATTGAAGTTTTTTTTTTCTGATTGAAATCCAAGCACTCAAATGATCTGGGCAATTTTTTTGTGAAATCTGAATTTCTCCGGGAAAACAAAAGTGCAAAAAGATGACTAGATGATTAGATTGAAAAAATGAGCCGAGAAAACTTTCTTTTTCTTTATCCCCTGAGTAAATAGAAATTTCAAGAACGGAAAGTGAAATGCAAAAAAACTGAAGTTAAATTTAGTTTTTTTAAAATTGAAATGCACTTTTGTTATCGCTTTCGATGGCAATTTTTTTATGGATTAGCGATTCTTTTTTTGAGAGAAAGTTGAGTGGAATGGTTTCTTTGGTGTTTCAAAGGGCAAAAGCTTATCAAAGTGAAGGAAAACCTGTGATTGGGCTACTGTAACAAAATGGAAAGCTATTTGAGAGTGAGATGTTCACCAGAAATATGTTTTTGAGGAAATTGAAGTGATTCGGTGTATCAAAAACAAATTAGATATGGGAAAGAGGAGATGGAGATCTTGTAAAAATGAGATTTGTCATTCAAACAGCTACAGCTTGTCGTAAAAACGGTAACAAGACGGAAATCTTTATTTATCTCGTCAAATAGGGCTTTTTGCAGCTATTGGAGTCATTGTCAGCTGAAGGAAAATGAACTAGATGAAGGAATAGATGCTTGGCTGAGTAGTTCCAAAACTAGAGCTGATCTGACCGGCTTGCAAGACTGACCCACTAATTTAGAGCTGGATCAGCATCTAGAAACCAAACCTAAAGCTGGCTTCTGGATCTGATTTCTGGATCTGATCAGCTCTGATTTTGAACTAGCTTACAAGCTCTAGTACTCTTGCTCTAGTACTCTTGCTCTAGTACTCTTGTTAGTACTCTTGGTACTCTTGATTACTGTTTGTAACGAGTCAAACGGTGTAAGAACGCGATTCAAGGATCATGGTTTTAAGCCAAAAACTGGCAAAAGAGATTCCTAGTCAACCAATCAGAAAAATTCCCTCTCAAAATCTACCTGTGGCGTTTGGCTGTGATCTCCTTCATCAGATCTCTTCCGGTGTCCATACTTCTTCAAGTGCTGCTTTAGGCTATGGCAATACTTTGTCGCATATGTGCAATCAGCGCAACGGAACTGAAAAAAATGATTTACAATCGGAAGATGACCATCAGAAAATGACTTGCTCCGAAATTAGAGTTGCCTTGACTCACCTGATACACATTGTTGTGACTTTTCATATGCGAATTGAGCATGCTCTTGTTTACGCACATGTAGGCGCACTTCTCACAACGGAAAGGCTTCGAGCCGATGTGATTTCGGATGTGGTATTCCTGGAAATAGAAATTCCCTGTTAAACACTGGAAACTGTACTGATTTTGGTCAAATTTCTGTCTAGAAACGCACCCAATTGCTTTTGGTACATTCAATTGCTTCTTTTCAAAAAGGATCTTTAAACTCAAGTGCGCCAGAAAGTGTACATTTACATTTGTCAGAATAGAGAATTTTTGACAACTTTTCCCTCTGACATAGACAACTTTTTCTCTGACAAATTTTCCCTTTTCAACACTAGACTTGCTGGGACATCATTCTCTACAGATTTGCAGCTAATTCTCTACCAATTTCACGCTAACTTTTATCTTTACTAGCAAAAGCAGCTTTTACACTTATTTCTTATAAAGTACAAAAACATATAGACTATTTACTTTCATAAAAATTACCAAGTGATGCTTGTATTCGGTGACGAACATGCACTGTGGGCAGTTCATTTGCTTGTCCGCTGGAATGTGAGTTCGCGCGTGAGCCCAGTGATCGTCCTGAAAGTTTAGATTGATAGTTATAATCTTTAAAGAAAAGTTTACCTTATTTGTGTCGGTATGTGGGCATTGTTTGCACTTGTAGACCTTTTGCTTGCTGCTACGAGATCGTGCAGAACCTGCCGGTTTGCTGGGATCGTCGGCTTTTTCCGGGGAGCTCATGTTGATGACCTGGAGATGAAGAAATAAGCTACACTATGTAAATTTCGTTTTAGAATTCTAAAGCTCCTAACTAAGGGTGCGTGTTTTATAAAAGTTCTATAAAACCTTCGGATCTTGCGTAGTTTCCGATGTTTTGAAAGAACCCGGGTATTTTAAACCGGTGGTCTTGCTTTGAAGATCTATAACTTTATCCAGAGATTATATTTTTGTAAAATTTTTATATCATTGTATAGAGGACATTTCAGGCTTTCAAATAATACTAAATAAAGCTTGATTGGACAGTCCAGTCCAACAAAATCATAGCCAACTCTGAGCAAATGAGGCCTATCCAATTTGGATGTCGTGTTGCTTTGTTTGCATGGGAATGAAAAATCCAGTCAAGCTTTTTTTGGTATCATTTGAAAGCCTGAAATGTTCTCTGTACAATGATATAAAAGTTTACAAAAATATAATCTCTGGACAAAGTTATTGACCTTCAAAGCAAGACGACCGGTTCAAAATACCAGGATTCTTTCAAAACACCCGGATTCTTTCTATATGAGTAAAATAAAAGATATGAAACAATTTTCTAGCGTAAAAATACTTGAAAAATCTAATTTTGTAGGTTTTGAGTCCTGAAAACTTCATAAAACATCATAAAAGGGGTTTTAAGGAGGAGACAGAACCTTTCACGCACCCTGTACATTAGAAGTTGGAGATTAAGCATTGAATTTGCTATCCAAGTATAAGACTGAAGACTTTCAAGACTTAGAACCAAAATGCGATCAAAACAAACTCTTACAAATGTTCTACACGTTTGGATTTCATTTGCCCACCTGTGAAACAGCACCCAAAGCATTAGCCAACGTTGGCGAGTCCGGCAGAAGCGCCGGATTCTCGGTGAATGCCCGAATTTGATCCAAAGCCGATGGAATTGGAGTCATCAGAGATTCCCCATCACCCGTCGGGAGTCCAAGATTTCCGAGAATCCTGTCAAGACCAAGCACAGCTGCCAGCGAAGTCACTGGCTGACCATTGGCGATCGTTGACGGACCAGCTTGACTGTTCACCGCTTTGTTCACCGCCTCCATCAATGAGGCCATCGTGGTTTGCAGGTGATTGTTCTCTGCATCGATTAACGGAAAACCATTCAATCTCAATGTTGCTGGAGGTGTTGGTGATAGCGGACGAGCTAATTGTAAAGGCCCCAGTCCCAAGCTTTGACTCAACGTTGATCCGAGATTCAAACTCAACGACAAAGCTGGTGGATGATGTTCGATTTTGTGTTCTTTGTGCTCTTTCGGTTCCTTTGCTGGCTGCAATTCGATTCCTTTAGCGGCTCGTTCTTCAGCTGAATGCGATTCTCGCATGTGTTTCTTCAGACGACCCTCAGTTCTCGAAATATAGTCACACATCTTGCATTGGTGATCTCCATGAGTGTTCATGTGCGAATTGAAATGAAATTTCGAAGCACAAGAGAATGGACAAAGAGCACATTGGAATTTGTGTGGAGTTCCATTCGTGGCCGGGAATGGGATCGGTTTGGGGGAGTTGGTTTCGGGTGGCTGATGATCGTCTGTCGAATCGGAGACGCCGCTCGATTGATAAACGATTGATTGGAGAAGTTCAGGAGAAGGCTTCTAAATGGGAAATTGTCTCAGAGTTGCAGGAATTTCACTCACGATGGATCATCTTCTCGAGACTCGAGCTGCTTGTTCGCATTTGAGTCGACTGGCTCGTCGCGTTTTGGGAGCGAGGTGGAGACTGAAATTTTGCCTTATTCAGAGCTTTGATTTTAGTTTGAAATGCTAGGAATCAAAGTATTCTCAGGAATTGTGCTAACTCCAGCTGCAAAACTTACCCTTTGGATTACAGCTGGCAGGCCTTGGCGGTAGAGGAGGCAATGCCAAGAAGGGTAAGGTCTGACTGGCCAGAGTCGGCTCTTCCCTTGTACCAGTAGGTCTCTGAGGACTCGTGGCTCCATTTGGTGGATCGACCTCCATTCTATGTCCATCTTCATCACTGTCCGTAGCCGAGTGACTTCCCGCGAAACTCGGTTGGCCGTTTGATTTAGTCTCTTCGGGACTGCAAGTAGATTGTTATAGATCAAGAATAAATTTGTCAAGTGTATACCGTATTTTCTCTAATAGTAGTGCACCCTGAGCGTCGTCTAAATTGGTCGAAATATCGAGAACCGCTTATCAGAACCTATCGATATGGGGTCGGAAAATGTAGCTGACGAAGAGATCTAGTGGAGGATTAGAGTATTGAGCTTCTGCAAAAGCTTGGAAATCGTAAAATAGTGATCAACTCGGCTCGCTACTATTAGAGAAAATACGGTATTTCGGTTTTGAGGTTTTAAAACTTGTAAACAAGTTACCTAAGAGAAGAGCTTGGCTCCAAGAGACGTCTGGTATCGCCATGAATCGCCTTTGGCGCAATGAGATCCGCCTTATTGGCTGGTGGTGAGACTTGAGTGGGAAGGGGTATCGTCTCAATCAGATAGGCCTGTAAAAGGATGTGACTTCAAGAATATAGCATAAATAGATTAAGAATTTGTATGGCTAGTTTTAAACAAAACCATGACTCCTGATTCAAAAATGATTCAAAAAAACAAATGAAAACCTAGTTCCATAGCTCTGAACTTATTTCCAAATCGTTATTTCTCTCGAACTTTCTCTCCACCTTGTTTATCAAACGAAATGAGGTGTCCTTTGTACTCTAAGGACTAAATATGGTGCAGGGCAAAGACAGCAAATGGCCCTAACTCTGGCTAAACCCGTACCAGTGTTGTTTTCTTAACACTGACACTTCATCGCATTCCAAAACCCGTACCGGTGGCGATTTCTTTCCATTCTCAATCGATTTCTTTCGTTGCTCTTCCAATTCTCTCGCTTGTTTCTGCCAAATTTGTTGTCCAAGAGTCGAATTGTTATTCGCTGCATGCCACTCGGCCACCTGAAAAGTTTCTCTAAACATTTTGTTTTCACATTTTGCTATTTGATTTTGCTATTTTTGTTATTTTTCTGTTTTTCCCCTCAATCACTGGTCTTTAAAAGTTGACTACAATTTGTACTTTTAGCTGTTTACTCATCCCCCACTTTAGAATTATTCATTTTTTCATTCATCTTGTTGTTGATGTGTTTTGATTGAATTTTGAACTCGCAAAATACATTAAAAACCTATTTTTAACAATAAGAAATACAGTAAGACTGGAAAAAGAGCTCTCATCTGATTGAATTTAAAGTCGAGATTTATTCTAATGATATAACTAGGCAAAAAACATAAACTAGAGGCAGATACATTAAAAAAACCAGACAATCCAACTTTGAGCCTCTCTACCTTTCTCTACAAGCTTTAAGACTTTTAGCTTTAAGACTTTGAAGTCTTTAAGAAGCTTTAGCTTTAAGTCTCAGACTTTTAGCTTACGTCTCATGTGTTAATCGAGACTGAGAATCGATTGGTGACGGTTAGAAATTTCTTGAATAACGGCTAAGGGTCTAAAACCTTTGTCCACAAAGTTTTCTGAATGAATTTTATTTTAGAAATCTAATTTTGCAAAATTTCATTATAGCCATGATGTAGCCTAAAATTTTGCTAAATTTTCTTTAGATTTAAATTGATTGGGCGCTAGCAATCCTCCCAAAAACGTTGAAATCCTGGCTCCCAATACTGCCATAGGATCCTGGCTCCCAACACTAGATTTAGAAACACTTTTTCGCAAAACTCACTTTCTTGTTCGCTTCTTCGTGGATGAAAGCGAATGGTGGCGGTGCTTGCGATGTGGGAAGATGATGAAAGAACGGTGAAGGCGGTTGAGGGATTTGAGGGAAACCGGGAACCGGATGATGGAGCCACCTTCCCGTTGCGGCAAGTGGATGCGGGTACAGTGGGGATCCGCTGCTCTCACTACAACGACCGTTCACCTGAATTTGATTTTATATTGAAGCTCAATGCGCGTTCAAGCGTCTTGCAATCCAGGATAACTAGGCTTAAAATGAGGTGTCTCAGAAAGAATACTGTAAGATTACTGTATAGCCGTGTGCTTGGGTTACTGTAGGGTTACTGTAGGGTTACTATAAGGTTACTGTAGGCTACCGTAGGGTAACTGTAGAGCTACTGTAAGTGACTGTAGGCTACTGTAGGTTACCGTAGGGTTACGTTACTGTAGAGCTACTGTAGGTTACTGTAGAGCTACCGTAGGTTACTGTAGGTTACTGTAGGTTACTGTAGAGCTACTGTAGGTTACTGTAGGTTACTGTAGGTTACTGTAGGGTTACGGCAGAGTTTATTGATCGGATTAGAGGTTACAGTAGACTAAAAAGTCAAGAACTAGAACTCAAGAAGCGAAAATTTTAGCGGTAGCGAAAATTTGTTTGATAAAACAGTCAGTCGATGTTTCAAAGGAGAACTTTTCAAAGGGAAAAGCCAAAAAAATCGCTTAAAAGCTGACTGATTGCCCCACGTGTCCGAGTCATTTTTTGTGAAACACCGGAAGTTTTTTTGCGTGTTAAATTTTTCCAACTGATAGCTCTGGAATCCCGCTAAAGTGACGCCAGAAATTTTCAGAAATGACCTTGAAAAATGAGATTTCAGTTAATTTTTGGCCAAAAAACAACTGATAATTTTTGAAGTTAAAAATGGCGTCAAAAAAGGCATCAATTTGGTGCCATAGGGTTTTAAGTTTACAGCAAAAAGTCTGATTCAAAATTTGGCTAAAAATAGAGAGAATGTAGTAGTTAACTCGCTCTGGCGTAAGGGAGATCAATTGTGCTGCGTTGTAATGGTTAGTACAGTTGGCCGGCAAGCTCAGTTGCTCGGTAGTCGCTGGTTCGACTCCGGCACAACTTTTTGATCTGCCCTAGCTCTAAGTTAATAAAAAGATTCTTCACTTCTTTCAGAGTGTACTTTGTGCTCAAAATGTAACGTTGACACTTTCTAGTGATCTGAAACCTTTCATTTCTGTCTGTCAAAGAAAAGTAGAGAATTCATTGCACTAGAAAGGGTTTGTTTAGAGATTTTTAAGCACATAGTGAGCACTTACAGTTCATCTCGTAAACCCACGCCATTTGGTAGAGGGATACCTAGGTAGGGGGATACTTCAGAGGTATGGGTCTACCTAAAAAAAGGTATGGGTCAACCTCGGAGGTAGGAGAACCCAAGGAAAAGGAAAATGTCAAAAGGAAATGAGGATTTAAAACATTTAAACTGGATTTAAAGCAAATATAAAGTAAACAAGAGAAAAGAGAGCCTGGATTGTGCAATAGACAAAAGTTAAGTCAAATCACAAAAGCTAAAAGCTTCAAAAGCTCCAAAAGCTAAGATTTACTTTCAAAATCTTCTATTTACTTCATAAATGTTTTCGATTTTCTTTCCTCCAGATGATTCTCAGGAAGGGTTACAGTACCTGCATTGGAGTGTGGACTGGCATGTGTTGGAGTGACTCATGATGGGTGGGTGGCCATCCTTCGGGTTGTCTAAAAATAGAAATATCGACAAATTTTTGATTCTAATCAAGAATTGAGCTTTTTAGGTTAGAAATCGTTGATCTGATTGATCAGATTGATCAAATTCATCAAATTAATTCATCAAATTTCTTTTGGATTTGATTCGGATAATCTTTGACTTCGAAAATTTGATTTTTTGAAGGTTTAAACTTATCAACTCAACTTTCTTTATGTAACTTTTTAATATGGAAACTTTTCTAATAAAGAATCTGTCTTTTCCAGTAAGAATTTATTGGTTTTCATAAGTTTTCCGATTCATAAATAATGAAATAAGTACGAAAAGGAGGAAAGTACGATAAGAATAGTAAAATAAGGCTTAAATAAGTCTAAATCTAAGTCTAAATCTAGTCTAGTCTAGTCTAAGTCTAAATAAGTACGAGCTTAGGAAAAAAGCTTGCTACTTTTTCCTTTTATGAAATTTTTCAGATGAAAACTGCTTAGTGAGGCTCAAGTTTAAGCTGAAGCTCAATTCCGAGTTGTTACTTAACGCTAGATTTATCATTTTTGATCTAAAAGTGTTCACAATCAAGAATTTGCTTTGTCATAATGAAATTGCTCATAGTTCTTGATTATTTCAATGTTATTAGTTTCTAATTCTTGATTATTCTAATCCTTCCCTTGTCCTTTCCCATTTTTCAAATCTTTCCTCACCTCCTCGGCTCCTCGTCAAACGTGGAAGACATTGCCGTATCTTCTACAAACTCCGATCCGTTATATTTATAAGCATCCAGACGGCACCTAAGATTAAATACTCAATTCAAGACTCCATTTCATAGAAGAAATTTTGACTATAATTGAAAAGCAATAGAAGTTAGGTGCTGAGAAATCAACCTCGACCCAGTGTCATGCCGTAGCCTCAACGGGGGCAAACCGATACTTGTCATATGGGCAAAAATTCAATAGGAAAATAAGAAGAGTACGGTATTCTGGTAGCAAAAAGCCAACCGGAGATCATAAGAATCGAAGAGATTCACAATATTCTGTGAGAATCTGAGAATCCAGAGATTCACAAGATCCAGGGATTCACAATGAAAGCCGAAAATGGATCAAAAAGATCCAAATGGTTTCAAGTTGTTTAAGAAATGTCTAAGCCAAAAGCTCAGAGATTATGATAGTTGAGTCCACGTGGGTTACGGTAGTTTAACCCAGATTTCAGACTGTTTAAATCAGAGATCAGATAGTTTAACTCAGAGTACGGTAGCTCTAAGTTTAGAGTCCAAGTTTAGAGTCCAGTACTGTAGCTCTCAGAGTCAAAAGAATGCTGTAGCCCAGTCAAGAATACTGTAGCCAAGAATACTGTAGCCAAGAAGCACAATTTAAAGTCCAAAGTACTGTAGCTGAGTTCACAAAGCCCGGGAGTACTGTAGCTCTTTGTCTCAAAGAGCCAAGAGCCAAGAATACTGTAGCCAAGTCCAGAGTACTGTAGCTTCACTCAAAGATCAGGGGCTACTGTAGATATCCACAATACAGACTCGTGGATTACTGTAGCTTTCGCAAAGAAATCTCGAAAGATCTTTTTCTCTTTCAAAATAGAGTATTGATCCTCAATTCCTGAGGTGTTTTCAACAAAAAAAAAGAAAAAAATTTCTCTCTCTCCAGAACCAAAAAAACACCATCAAGAGGGCCGCCCTTTGGCCGAATGCCAGACAAACGACCATTGCGGTCATCCTTGGAAAAAGTGCACTTCTCTGTTTTCGAAAAATCTGTGTTTTTTTCTTTAAATTCTTTTTCTTTTTACCTACTTCTATTTTTGTCTCTTTTTCCCCCTTTTTTCCCCTTTTTCCCCTTTTTCCCGCTTTTTTAACGCTTTGTTTTTTTCGATTTTTGAGCCGTCTCTTTTCTCGGGTTTTCCCTGTCGTTTTTGCAAATTCCCTTTCGCAATGGTTTTTTGGCAAATGAATGAAAAAATAAATGGCAATTTTTCTGATATAAACAAGTTTCGGTCACGTGGACAAAGATTGGTGTTTTGTTCTGATGGGTAATTGAAATAGAATGCGGGACTTGTCTAAGAGATGCGATTTAGCACATCATAAGAGTAAACTAAGCTAGGTTTAGCCAGATTTTGAGTATTTCACTTGAAAAGATCGTCAATTCTTCAAAATCTTCGGCCCACGTGGCTGATTTAAACCTATTTAAGGTGTACTTTATGCGCAAAATGAAGAAACAAACGTTTTTTTGGGCTGTAGATCACTGTTTTCGTTGAAATTGGCTCGTAAATCACCGTTTTTCTTTAAATTTACTATTCATAATTTACTCTTTACTAAATTTTTGTTCAAATTTCATCGATTCAAGGTGTACTTTGTGCTCAAAATGCAGAAATAAACGTCTTTTTGGCTGTAGAGAACTGTTTTTGTTCACTTTAACTCGAAAATCACTGTTTTTTGTTCACATTTCACTATGAAACTCGAGAAATCTACTGCCCAAAGCAATGCACGTTTGCAATTTTCATAAAATACCCCAAAAACCTTTAGATTGGCAATGTTTCTATCAAAAATGGCTTACTAAAGCTCACTCAAGCCTTTCAGAAGCCTGAAAAATGCAAATTCATTCTCAAATACAAACAAATTCGTTCAAAATCGTTCCAATTCGTTCAAATTCGTTCAAATTCGTTCAAATTCGTTGAAATTCAGTTCACTAGCTAATTTAGTATGTCTAAATAGATTAATAAAGGCTTCAGCTTCCAAAAAAACACTATAAAGAGCAGTAGTTGAAATTAGGGCAAATCAAAAGTTGTGCGCCCCCGGGACTCGAACCCGGGAGCTTTGGCTTACCAAGCAAGTGTGCTAACCACTACACCACAACGTCCACGACTTCCCTCCCTCCAGAGGGGCTTAACTCAAGATTATTGTAGCTAAACTCCACAATATAGCCTCTTTTTTTCTATAAGATCTTCTTATCAGTTTCTCAACCGGAATTTCCAAAGCTCAGCTCAAATTTCGAAATTTCACTCAAAATTTCACCAAAAATTGATCATTTCCTACAAATTCCTTCGAGAAATCTGTTCTTGTTTCCAAATAAGTTCACTGTTTTCTTCTTTTTCTTCTTTTTTTCTACTTCTTTTCCATTTGAAATCATATAAAAGATGTTTTTGAGGCCAATTTTCTCCCGCACCGATCAACAACTCCTTCAAAAAAAGAAATATTTCGAGAAAATACGGCTCACGTGCCGGAAATTTCTGTGTTTTTCTCTCATCAAACGCCAAATTTCATTGAATCTTTCTCATCGTTTTCTCAGAAAAACGTCTTCTTTTAGCAAGGATTAGTAAAATTAAAGAAAAAGTGCAGATTTCTGAACGATTATCGTTCTCTTTTGAGAATTTTAAAGTCTACCGTAAATATTGTAATGGTACCCCCGCCCCCCTCCAAGATAGGAAACACTGGATGACAATAGCAAGAGCAATTATTTTGCAAATCTTTAGCTGAATATCTTGTGCCTTTCATAACTGTAGGTAAACTACCGTAAATACTGTAATAGTACCCCCCGCCCCTCGTACAGTCGCGTAATCGCAAGTATTTCATTATTTCATTTTTTTCAAAGCGCCCATACTTTCAAAAAATGCGTCTTTGGTATCAAAAAAAAGCTGAAATTCAGGGCTATTTTTTGATATCTAAGCGCGCATTGTAGCATAAACCAGTGTCGAGAAAAACGCGTCCAAAGCTAGACTACGCAACGCTGGGGCGGGGTACTATTACAGTATTTACGGTAACTTTTTGTGCTCTAGCAATACGAAAGGAATATACGGAAAGAGCATATAAAGTGGGCTCCGTCCCTTTTATCCGTCCCTTTATCATAGAAGCGATCTTTTAGAGGCGGGACAAGCAAATCAGACATTCAACTTTCTGAGCCACTTTTCTGCACACGTACTTTCAAAAAATGCGTCTTTGGTATCAAAAAATAGCCCTGAATTTCAGCTATTTTTTGATATCTAAGCGCGCATTGTAGCGTAAACCAGTGTCGAGAAAAACTCGTTCAAAGCTAGACTACGCAACACTCCACATCGTCATTATGGGGATGGGGTACTATTACAGTATTTATGGTAGGTAATTTTCCACTCGGCTCAAATAAACAATCAACTAAGTAAAGCTGAAAAAAAACTGAGTTTTGTTGAATTTGTTTTCAAAAACAATTTTGCGGTGAGTTTGTTTGAAATCAAGATTTCAAAATACGTATTTACAAGAGAAAACCTTGTTTTTTCTTTTCTTTTTTTTGAAAAAACAATCATATGGTTGATAAAGTTTTTCAATGTTTTTTTGAAATGTTTTGCAAAAAGTTAGTCGTTTTTGGAGAAAGAGAGACATTTTTCATAAAAAGAAGAGATTTCCGATTATGGCAGAGTTGGAAAACAGATTTAGATTGAGGGAAATGACGTGTGTTTTGATCAAAATTAGCAATAACCATAATTTGAGCTTATCTTATCGCTTTTGTAAAGCAATTTTGCCCGACAATTTACACAGGGAGTTTTAAAAACCATTTTTTTTTGGCTTAGTTATTCAATTCGGAGACTTTCAGACCTCTAAAGTACCATCTAAAGTACATCTATAGCATACTTTAGAGGTTTAAAAGTCGAAAACCGGAAGCTAAGCCAAAAACTGATAGAAAAGACAAGTTTCCATGGCACTGATAGAGAGCTGGACAGTTCAAAGTGTATTTTTTGATCTTGATTCAAGCTGAACAGACTTTCAAACCTCTAAAGTACCATCTAAAGTGCCTCTATAGTATACTTTAGAGGTTTAAAAGTCTAAAACTGGAAGCTAAGCCAAAAACTGATAGAAAAGACAAGTTTCCATGACACTGATGATGAGCTGGACAGTTCAAAGTGTATTTTTTGATCTTGATTCAAGCTGAACACGCTTTTTAGCGCACACAACTCTTTCATTTTTGCAACGATTGAATTGTAAAGTAAAGAAAAGTAAAGAATGCAGGAAAAGTAAAGAATTGTGTCCACCAGAAAGAGTCTTTCCTACTTTCAAGCACAAAGTGCACTTGAAAGTTTGAATATCAAATGGATGGATCGGTTGGTGGAATCGATTAGGAATGGACCGGTTGGTGGAATCGATTAGGGATAGATCGATTGGTCTCATTTGACTCAAAAGTTAGCCACTAATTGGCCCGTTATCCTGATTTTAATAAATTTGCGACGATACGGCCCACCGGCGAGTCGTAGACATGGAAAAATTCCAACCTGAACCTAATTCCACCTTCATTTTCTTGGCCGATTCTTTGCCGATTACTCTGAAATTTTGTCTACAGATAGAAATCGACTTTTTCAGCTTATAGACAAGATTTCAGAGCAATCGACCAAGAAACCGCCGAGAAAACGAAGGTGGAATTAGGTTTGGGTTGGAATTTTCCCATTTCTAGTGGGTCGTACTTGGATTTAGCCCTCTTTTTGAGGTCGATTGGGCTAAAAATTTCACTAGGGGCTTTCAAGGATGAGGAATTCGAATCCGTGATTAGTTCTTAAAGAAAACTGCTCTATTTTTGCACATTTAATTCGGTTTAATTACCCAATTGCAACTCCAAATCCAGGGCCGTGAGTCAGAAGGTCTTTACAATTTCTTTCCAAATGTTTTTTAAAAATAATGACACCACCAACAAAATTTCTATTTAAACTAATAAAAAGGATAATTGTTTCTGTGCAAAATGGCTTTTGAGAAGTTCTTGGAAGTCTTTGTTTTTGGGGATTTTTAAAGGCGCAAAGGCGAGCACCCAAAACTGCTCCGATGTCGCAATTTTGATGTCGCTAAAGTCACAATTTTGACACTTTCTTCAATACAAACCTATTTTGAGGCCAAAGTAAAAAAGATAGAGCTTATTTGATTACATAAGTCTAGAAAATTTGAAAACGATCCGTTCAGCCAATTTTTTTAGAATAGCAATTGAA